CACACACATACACACATACATGCATATACACATATACACACATACATACATATACACACAGATACACACATACACACACGTACACATACGCACATACACACATAGAGACATACACACATACACACATACATACATATACACATACAGACATATACACATATATACACAGATACACACAGATACACACATATACACACATATACACATATGGACACACACATACACACATACACACATACACACATACACACATACACACATACACACATACACACATACACACACACATACACACATACACACATACACACACATACACACATACACACATACACACATACACACGCCGAAGAAATACCATATTCTTCTTCGATGCTCCAGCCAAATAGGCTCAAGAGTCGCTAGCGAACTTTTGATTTAGAAAGAAAGAAAATCAACTCACATAGTATGGATGAATTCGGTGATGATGGTTGACGTTGTGATGGTGACGACGTGGGTGCTCGCGGAGATGTGGCTTGTCGTAGTGACCATATTCAAGGCGCCTGTGAGATGTAGTAGGCGGTGAAGTTCGCGGAGTCATCGTAGAGGAAAGGGTTGGCCTCGGCGTAGTTTGAGAAGAAGAAGATGTTGTTGTCCTGATAGGTGGAGAATTTGTAGTCGGCGTAAATTCAGTACCGACAGTAGTTCGAACAACTGTAAATGTTGTTGTCGTGTCAATTGAACGCGCGGTTGTTGCTGGCGTGATTCTGCTGCTGGCCCTAGTTGAGGGTGCAGTAGATGTTGTTGTCCAAAAAATTGGAAATATAGCAGCTGTTGGAGTGCTTCTGCTGCCGAGCGCAGTTTGGGAAGGAGTAGATGTTGTTGTCCTGACAATCGGAAATATGCCGGTTGGTTGCGTAGTTCTGCTGCTGGGCGCAGTTTGGTAAGGAGTAGATGTAGTTGTCCTGACAATGGGAGATATGGCAGTTGTTGGTGTGATTCTTCTCCTGAGCGTAGTTTCGGCAGGTCTAGACATTGTTGTTGTGACAACAGGTAATGTGGTGGTTGTTGACGTGGTTTTGGTACGAAACGTTGTTCGAGCTGCTGTGGATGTAGTTGTTCTGGTAATCGGACGCTTTGTTGTACTCACTGAAAGCTTAAAGCATAAGTCAACCACAGATCTGTCTCAGTTTCAAGGCACGGTTCACGATAAAGAAGGTTACTGAGTTCTTCCTTCGGGAATAAAAGGCATAATTCACGAGGTTGGTCCTGCAGGTCGTGCCTTGGAAAAAACTATGGCATTGAAAAACACTATGGCATTGCCGCAGTGAAGTACCTTCAGTAATTGGAGTGAAATTATTTATATGTATGCTTGCCAAAACCTTTTCAAGATTTCAAAACTTTTTAGAGAACGTTCGACGTTTTGGAAACTTCACCTTCATTAAAGCCTGAAAGTCGGAAAAACCATTGAGATTGATCTTCTTGTAAGGCGAGATAAATCCAGGACAGTTTTTTAAATTAGGAAAGCTCTCACCCAGGTGCTAGCGGCTTACCCTGATCCAAGTCACCGGAGCGTTAGATGGACCACCCAGAAATTGACGTCTGCGTACAGTGAGCAAGCCTACCTCCTCCCTGACCTAACCCTAACTGCGAAATTTGTTGAGGTCGAGAAAGAGCGCAAGGTCACGGGTTACGGTTAGACACTCTTCGTTCCTCTTAACTTGTGGGTCCCTAGCTGCCATTCAACACGCCTCAAGTGCTATCCGCGTAGACTCGATTTGTAGTGCCAAGGTGGCCACTGAAATTGTGAATTCGTTACCATCATGGACAGAACTCGATGCATTCCCAGTGGTGTTCAAGTGCGAGACGCTTTGCCTCTCCAGGTGTTCTTTACGAATAGGACGCCTTGAATCACTAATAAGCTCAGCACCACAAGTATGGCATCGAATTTTGTAGATGACCCCTGCTCTCGTGCAATCACCCCCGTCGAATGGAAAGACATCGAGGGCTTCTAAGACCTTATCCG